GCTGCTCCAGTGCTGGGTTACGAGCATGCAGCATGCGGCTCTCTCAGCATTTTTAACATAGTTTCTGGGGCACACACTCAGTTCCTTGTGCTTGTTCAGCTAACACTCTACTTACTGAGCCATTTCCTGGACCACAAAATACACACACACACACACACACACACACACACACACACACACACACACATATTGGACATTCAGATATCTTTGCCCAGTTTTCTTTGTCTCCAGCAGTTTCTACCTACCATCTTGCCTGTTGTCCAAGCTGGCTCTTCCAGCTCTTCCCCTGAGTGGCATTAATTTTCTCCCCAGTCTCTTTCTGCCTTGGAACCTCAGCATTTGCTATTATTCTTGCTGAAACATTCATCCTGGATTTTGATGGTCCTTCAATGCCTCAATTACTTGTCATCTCTTCAGTGAAGCCTTCCCAGACTTCCAGTCTCCAGCGCACACACACACACACACACACACACACACACACACACACCTTTGCCGCACAGACACAACGCAGTCATGCCGGGCCACACTGCCCTTCACAGCTTTGGGGCTGCTATGGTTTGACCTATTGATTTACTTTAAATCAGAAGTGCTGAGAGCCAGCCCCGCTGGGCACGCTCACTGGCTCCCGTTGCCTGGCATGCAGGAAGTGGCAGACAAGTACTGCTTGACCGTGTGCAGGGTTGGCGGTTTCACGTTGACTGTGCACTTTGAGTGTTTGCAAACCCTTAATGGGTTGATCCATGGCAATTCCTGGTCCTGGGGTGGAGTTGCTGATCGAGGCCTGGGCATGAATATATCCACTTGCTCTGTGTACGGTAAGCATCTGCATACAAAAAAAAGCAGTCTGTGTGACTTTGCGTTGCTGAGGGGCTGGGCATGAGGATAGCGCCCAAATTGCTGTGCACAATTTCAGTTCAGAATCATAAACACAGCTCTCAGCAGCTGAAGGTTCCGTATTTGCAGAGCCAACCAACACCGGACTGAAAATATTTCTTAAAAACCGCAGCCGTACAGAATGTGCTCTGACCTTGTTTCTCGTTCCCTGACAATACAGTGCAAAAACTGCTTAGGCAGCGTCTAGGTGGCATCAGGTGTAGCAGGAGTTGCAGCACACGGGAAGATCTCATGGGTTGCATGGAAACACCGCAGCGTTTCCTGCAGATGACGTCCGTGCCATTGGGTGGTCATGGGGTGATTATCCACAATTAGAGGATGATCTGAAAAGATTCAGGCGGCAAGCTGAGGGTCAGTGTCTGAGTGAGTTCCAGTTTTTTCTTTGTGATGATTTGATAGTTTGATTTTTTTCCTATAGCAAGCATAGATTTTCTATCCCTAGGAATATTAAAATTTAAAGGGAGATTTCTGTTTTTCAGGATTCTTTGAGTGGTAGCTTAAAAAAAAAATCTGCCTTCGATAGAAAGGGAAAAATGTGTCAAAGAAAAATGCACATACACACAAGTGCATGTGCATTCACAGAAGCACATGCATATACAGATGTGTTGCACACGTGTGTGTGTGCATATGCATGCATATATACACAAGTGCATGCATACGCAAGGGCATGCACATACACACACATGTACACACACACGCATATGCATATACACATAATGAAAACTCCTCCAGATTGAAGATGGATTCATCCTTGCTCTACAACCCAAAGCTGTTGGACTTCAGGCAAAGCAGCTAAACCCTGTGAGTCTTGGTGACTCCCCCCTAAAGTGGAGGCAGCAGTCACATGTGTAACTGTGCCTAGCATGTAACAAACATGCCATCTGTGTCATCTGGGTGTTGGAATATGTCAAGAGGACTATGTGAGGCTCTGCTAAATATAGTATCATAACTGTTTAATCCCCCCACCCCCATCCCACTGAATTTCTCTGTGAGGGAGGGGCAGTCCATTGACAGAGTAAGAACCGGACGCGGACCCAAGCTACCTCCTCCATAGGGCATTGATTATTAACACCAGGAACCAGCCCTGTGACTCCATCCTGGAGAAGCTGCTGGGGGAAGCTGTTGGACCAGGCGGCCGGGATATTCCTCCAGACAGGGCCTCTGACCCAGGCCTGCATTGGGCATTCTGCCCTCTGGTGGAAGATTCTGGAAGTGCAACTTTTCTACGGTGCAGCCTCCCTGCTGGCTCCCAGTCAACCCACATCCCTGTCCATCTCTGGTCAGGAGCAGTGAGGCCACTGCTACTGCTTCTTAGCCGTGCCTCTAGGCCCACGTTGCCTTCCATCTTCCCCTGCTGACCCAGATGACCATGGCAGTCATGGGCCAACTGTCTGTCTCACAGGCCCCCAACTCTCATTCACAAGGCTTTACAGTTGTCCTGGTAACCAGCAGACTGCCTCGCATGACCGTCCATAGGTAAAGAACTTAGGGGAAGTCCTGTTGATCGAAGGCCCAAGATTGAGGTGTGCCGCACACCTGGCCCCCACCCTGACCTCTAGTCTCATCTGGGGACCTCCTCTCCCGCACGCATGTCTTCATAGACCCAGAGAATGCATAGAGAAATGAGCTTGCATGTGCAATTGAAGCTGGGTGGCGGGGCTGCACAGATTACCTCAGAGGGAAGACTAAAATCCTTGGGTATTACTGGCACCGTGTGCGCTGCCCCTCCCCCGCCTCTCCCTGCCCATGCCTACGCTGCCTATAAGATACAAACATGTCTCCTCTTCCCTGAAATATTCCCTCCGGGCCCACACCATCCTGACACAGAGCAAGCAACTTGTCCCCCGGCTCTTGCTGTAGTTAGCCCTCCCCCTCCCTCATGTAGGGATCCCCTATCCTGAACACATTCTTGCAGGGCTCCTGAAGGCTCTGAGAGAAATGAGCTCCTAATGTGAGATTAACAGCTGCAGGCTTAGGCTAAGGGCAGTGTGGTGGTGGGGGGCATGGAAGGGCAGAGGGAAAGAGAACCTCATTCTTCCTGACTTCATATCCAGTCAATGGGACCACTGTCTAACTAGCTCTTGGATGGTGCTAGCTTAAGGGGGTTGATACTGTTTATGTCAAGGTTTGCGAAGAAAACCATATCCATGAAGCCATCTAGGATCACCTGGGAGGCTCCGAACTTACTGTGCTTACTTGACCCCCGCGCCTGTCTCCCCAATCCACAGCTGTGTGCTCCGTGGCTCTGACCCGAAAGTCGCCTTTCTGTCCCCACACTCCAGGCATACATAGATCAGTCTCCAGCATGCTGAGAGGGTTTCTGGGTATTAGGATGAGTCTTAAAACTCCCCCCTATCCATTACCCTCCCTTCAGAACCACAGGCTCGCGAATATGGTGGATGCTTTGCTGTTGGCCTTCGCCCCTCAGCCTTGACCAATGCAGCCGTGAAATTGAAAGCAAATTATAATTACTGGCTAGAGCCAAGACCACTGCTACATCAGGCCTGCCCCTTCCATTCGCCTATAAATTATTTCCAGTATTGCTCTGCCTCAGAGCTCTGCCCCCCTCCCCCCCTCCCCATCTCCCAGCTCTTCTGAGGACTTGCCCAGCGTATTTCATGCTTGAGTTGAGGGAAAAAACATCAGGCAAGACAAGAATATTCACAATGCCTGAGCAGTAATCAGAAATTCATTTCGCTCATGTTGATGGGTCCATGTCTCTTTTGAGTCAAGCCAGAGTCATTAAACACTTCGCTACGAACTAATCTGGCTTATGTACTGGAAACTCTCCCCATAACGCTGGGTCTGGGACAGACAAAAGGGCATGTGGCTCCAGAGGCCGCACAAGCACGGGGCTGTGAAGACAATGATGTTGAAGGGTGAGAAGCATCTTTCTCTCACTTTGTTATTTTGTTTTCTTGTTTGTTTTTTGAGACAGGGTTTCTCTGTGTAACAGCCCTGGTTGTTCTGGAACTCACTCTGTAGACCAAGCTAGCCTCAGAGGTTCACGAGAGACCTGGGATTAACCAGCACCGCCTGGCTGAGAAGCATCTCTCATCATTTCCATATTCATCCATCCATCCATCCATTCACACACTCACTCACTCATAGACACTGGTCCCTTCCCGTGTCGAGCATATTGCTGGAATAGTAAGGCTGCCGAGAGACATGCCTACTGCTCCCTTGACAAGGTCCCAGTCCAAGAGGGAAGGCCGAGTGAGAAATCACCACACTGCCCTTAGCCTGAGCCTGCAGCTGTCAACTTCATGTTAGGAGCTCATTTCTCCCGGAGCCTTCAGGAGCCCTGCAAGACTGTGTACAAGATAGGGATCCCTACCTGAGGGAGGAGGAGGGCTAACTACAGCAAGAGCTAAGAGACAAGTCACAGCACTGTACCAGGGTGGTTTGGGCCAGGAGGGAATGTCTCAGAAGACAGGAGACTTGCTTGTATTTTATAGGCAGTGTAGGCGTGTGCGTGGGGTGGGGGCTGGGGGGGGGCAGCACACATCTATTTCTGCAAGGCCTGGCTCCGATTGGCCACTCTCAGAGGACCTGAAGAAGCTGAGCTCCATGGAACTGACTGCTTGTATTTGAATCCTGGCTCTCACCTCCACTTGCTGTGTGATTTTCGACCCTGAGCCTCCGTTTCCCTGACTGGAATGCATTGGGGTACAAATTATACCCAGGAAGCGAGGGGGTTCTGAGTGGTAAGAAGGTAGTCCATGAGATTTAGAACCCTGCCTAGCAGACAATAGTCAGTCAGAGTCACTCAACCTCGAGCCCTAGACAGCTCTCTCCCTTGGGTCCTCAGGAAGAGCATTGGGCCCCTGTCTGGTGAGAATGAGCTAGCCGTGCCACAAGGACCATATATTCTCCACCCTGGACTTCCATGTGCTTCTGAGCTTGATGTTCCATTGCCTAGACCAGAAAGGGAAGGTGAGGAGGCCAGATAGCGAACCACTTTTGGAGGAGGAAAGCCTGCAGATGGGTCTCTTGACCCAAGTGGTTTAGAGCCTGCTTGCCCCCACAAGATGCTGGGCCCTGCCCCCATTTAAAGGAAATGAGAGAGCCCCTAGGATGGTGATTGTCTGATTCCAAGACCCTACCTTAGGCGGTGTGGCTGTTCCCCAGAGTGGTTTCACGCTTTTTGTCCCGTAGATGTGTCTAGTCAGTGGAGGCTGTTCCGGAGGACAGCGTGACCTAGGAGGGAAAGGGTGGCATGGGGTGTGGCAAGGCTTTCTGGGGTGGGGTTGGTCTGACCCCTGTAGCCTGGACTTGGCCTCCACTGTCATCTCAGCTATGAAGCAGGATGAGGACAGATCAACTCTGACAACCCACATACCCAATGGAAACACTACAGGGAGAAAATACTGGGTTCCGGTCCACCTTGGTGGGGGCTGGGACAGGGTCAAAAAGCACAGCTGGAGCTGCAGGGGTGGGAGCAAAGGTGGTTCCCCTGGCAGCACCAGGAAGCAGAGAGGTGAGCACACTGATCTCTGCTGACCTTCTCCCCTTCTGCCTTGCAGTCCATCCAAACCCTAAGCCTGCAGGAAGATGCCAACCAAATCCAGGGTGACTGTAGCCCTGTGATGGGTCCTCTGTTGTAGCATGCTCCTAGACACACCTAGAGTGGACCACAACCTTCTAGATGGTTCTAAACTCAGTCAAGCTGATGGTGAGCATCAGCCTCACGCAAACCTACCTCCTGAGGCTACTGTGCAGATTCTAACACACAGCAGAGGGCTCTTGACAGACCTTCAGCAGCTCCTGGAGAACACAGCTGCTAGGCCCCCAGCAGCGTGCTGTTCTGAGGTCTGGCTGGGAGCAAACAGTTCAAGCCCCTGTCCTGGGAGAAGGGCTGACTTTTAGCCCTTTTAGCCCAGGGTCAGTCCTAAAGGAGGAGTGTGCCAAAAGTGCTTTAACCAAATGAGTATTTAAAGTCAACCCAGCTCTTCTGTCATGCCAAAGGTCAGTTAAGCCAGCGCATGCCAGAGCAGACCAAAGGCCACAGTGTGAACCATCCTGCTGAAAGATTTTGTGTGGTATGGGCAGTCATCTGTTTCTGTAGAAAGCAGACCGTCTGAGCAGAACTTGGTACCTGGGGGATGACTGTGGCGTGAACCTGTCATGCTCATAGTAGTGACATTTGGGGTTAGGAAGGAGGCTCCTATGACTGTGAAAGTGTGTCCCTAAGATGGCTGTCAACCCCGTCACTCCTGAATCCCAAGCAGGGAGCCCACTGTCACCCTTTGGCTCCCGTGGACACTATTCACCAAGTTGGGCAGCAGGATGTGTGGTGGGGTGTTCTGTCCCCAGAGAGGAGTTGTGTTTCACTTGTTGTTTATGTTGTTGTTGCTGTTGTTGTTATTACTGTTGTGACTTGGAATTAGCAGCCAAATGTGGTGAGCAGTCATACAGATTTAACTCCTGTTCCAATGTAAGATATACGTGACATACTACTTCCTTTACCATGGTAGCAAGCACAGTCACTACATGGGGCAGCCATTGCTCCACCCAAATCCAGAACTCTTGCATCGTCTCAGACAGCTCCTCACTCCCCTGCCCCTTGTACCTATCAACAACCATTCCCAATTGCTGGGCCTGTGATTTTTGAATGCCCCAAGCTCCTCATAAAGATGAAATCAGGCATTTCCTGCCCTGTCATAACTAGTTTAGTTCATGTAGCATAGTGGCTTCACAGTTCATCCACGCCGAACCCACCCTCAGGTCCCCTTTCCTTCTTTAGGGCCAAATAGTATTCTTTTCTTTGCACACAGCACATTTTATCATCTTTCACCGACGCCTGGGTTCCATCCACCTCTGTTGTTGTGAGTACACCGCTGAATATATTCGTGTGTGAATTTCTGTTCAAGTGCTGCATCCAGTCCTTCAGTGTCTACACGTGGGAGTGGAATCACTGCTGGACGGTGTGGTGATTCTGTGCTTTATTGATTGGTTTTTAACTGTTTATGTGCAGTGCAACAGGACGAGTGGAACACAGGAGGCTGCAGCAAAGGTGAAAAGAGAGAGGGGGGAGAGTGAGCAAGATCCCATCAGCCCTGCTCCCATCGGTCTTTGCCTCAGTGGACACGTGGTGTCCACACCATAGTCTCTGAATCCCTAGGCTCCTTTTCTGTTTTCTGGATGAAGTGATGCTGCCCAGCACGGCAGCCGCAGTACTTCAGCATCTCAACACAGTCAGGGTTGACATCCCTTATGCAATATTCCAGGCCCAGGCCCTGGCTGGTGGACCAGTTCCCTATAGTCCCTCAAGGACCCCTACCTGCTGTGACTCAGCCTCCTTTGATAGGGTAAATGCACATGCAGCATGGCTGGTGGACCTGGAGGACACATGTCCCTAAACTAGTGAGAGCAGGACGTCTGTCCCCATAGACCAGGGTAAGAGCCCGAGAAATGTGCGGCCTTTTCTCGCTCTTTCTCAGAAGCTTTTGTTGTCACTGTTGTCTCTTGCCTGCCTCTTTCCTGTGACCACGCCCTTCCTCCTGTCATGGCTCACCATACACAGGCAATGGTTGCTGATATGTGAGTAAAGGAGGCTTCCTGACACCTCTTCCAGATCGTGGCTGAGCTGGGATCTGATTGAGACCTGACTCCCAGACTCCCCCTCATCCTCCGCAAAACTGTTGTCGGGATGAATGATGCTGGGCCCTAATGGTTGTGCAGCCCAAGCTAACATGGCCCCTGGAATCCACCCAGCTTCTCTGGCCTCCCTTGTGACTTGGCCCATCTCCCTCCCCTCCCTGTAGCTCCTGCCTTTGTATTAAGACAGAGTTGACTACACAGAAAGTGAAGTGGGATGACGATGTGGCTCTGGACACTGTGTGACTTGGGGATAAAGCTACATCCCTTCGCCTTCTTCCCACAATCTCCATCCTTGCTCCATCCCCCAAAGTATAACCTCCCGCCCTCGCCCAAATCCCAGGACTCCTCTGCTCATTAGCCACTGCCACTTCCTGTGCCTTCCCTGGGCTCCTGAACTTTGCTGCTCAAATCTTTGTTGGCCCTTGGGCTTCCTCGTTCCCTGAGAGTCAAATTCCCAAGCACCTCCGTCCACTTGTTTTCTTCCGGTTGTTTGGTTTCATAGCTGGTGCCTTTCTGCTTTTTTGGTCTGATGCCAGCAAGTCCCTTTGGTGGAGCAGGGTGTCTTTTCTCGCACATGTGTTGGCGGGAACCCCATAACATAGGACCCCTCCCTTCCCTTGTCTCAGGCTGCCCTGCTCCTCTGGACCTGTCTTCCCAACCCGCATTGTCCCTGTGTGCCCAGGCCAGTGTGTCCTCTCCTGGGTTGTCCCCACCACTGTCCTCTTCCACACTGGGCGGGCCTGACCACCTGGTGTGTGTCCCGGGCACAGAGAAATCAGCTGCTGACAGCCAGCACCCGATGCCCTCACCTCCTCGGTGTCTCATGGGAGAGGCTCAGAAACGCTTCTCGCTACCTCTGCCCTGCTTCCAGCCTCTCCTAACAGAAGATCTGCCTCTAACGATTTGACTTCCCTGCTTTAAGATATAATATAGACCTGATTGGAATGGTTTCTAGAACTTCGTACCTTTATAGCCTTTGGTGTGAGATGAGAACAAGCAATCACACTCTGTGGCTTTGCTGTTCCCCAGCCCCTCCAGACCGTCCTTTCTGCCCCTTTACTCCTTACCTCACCCACACCAACAACTTTTAACCCAAAATAACCTGGGAGTATTATAGCTCTAACTTCAGGAGCCACAGGGGGGATGTGGCCAGGATGAGGTGATGCTACCCTGTGTGGCAGGCGCTCATAGTTCAGCATCTCTGTAGTATTTCAAACTGGGTTCCTGGAGGTGGAATACCCTCCTATGATTACCTAAGGACCCAGGCTCCTTCCCTCTTGTGGCTCAGCCTCTTTGGTGGAATAAGCATCCTGCTGTCTGGCTGGTGGATCTGGAGGGCACGTGTCCCTGCAATGGAGAGAAGAGGGTATCTAGCCCTGTGCACGAGCAGTGAGAAAAATGTAGCTGAGAGAATGAAGCTTGGCATCAATGCTGCGGGCCAAGAGAACTGCAGCGGGCACTGGAGGGCAGCTGAGTGTGTCTGACACATTTGGGAATGGAGGGGAAAGTGGAAGCGTTGCCATGTGACTCAGAGTCTGCCCTGGCGCCCCCTGCTTGCTACCACTGGAAAGGGAACCCCAGGAAAAGAGAGCCTCAGTCTCCTGGCTACTGCCCATGCCCATGCCCCTGTCGTGGGTGCCCCAAACAGTACGTAGTATATGGCATGAGTTCCATCCCTAGAAAGAATTTTGTGCCCACTCTGCTGCAGTGTGACTCTGCCACTTTGTCACATCTGGGCGTGTGACTCCTGATCAGTAGGATGTGACAGAAAGGGCCATGTGCATCCTGGAGACTCCGTTCGCAGCTTCCGTCTGTCTCCTAAGACTCACAGCAGTGCAGGTGACAGAGTCAGTGTTCCAGCTGACTGTCAGTACTGGCCGTGTGTGTCCCACGCCGAGTCAGACCTTCAGGTGGCAGAGACCTCAACACCATCCCACTGTCACGGCTGAGACCCCCAGGTGCAGACGGAATTACCTCAGCTCTGTGTTCTCAGCCACCTGCTCTAGCAACAGGAGGACCCTGTGGCTCCTTCCTCAGTCAGCTCCTTTTCCTTCCCTAGCCTGTCATCTTGCTCCCTTCCTTTTAATGGCATCAGAGACTCAAGCAGGAAGTCTTCCAGAGATAATGCAGGTGCCATAGTTAAGGTTTGTATTGCTGTGAAGAGACACCACGACCATGGCAACTCTTATAAAGAAAACATTTAATTGGGGTTGGCTCGCTTACAGTTTTAGAGGTTCAGCCTCTAAAGGTTATCTTCAAGGCAGGGGCATGGCTGCAGGCAGGCAGATGTGGTGCTGGAGCTGAGAGTGCTACATCTTGCAGGTAACAGGAAGTCAACTGACTGTCACACCGAGGGAAGCTTGAGCGAAAGAGACCTCAGAGTCTGCTCCCTCTGCCCAGTGACACATTTCCTCCAGCAAGGCCACACCTCCTAAAAGGACCATTCCCTTTGGGGGCCATTTTCTTACACACCACCACTGTGGAATTTCCAGACTCAAAAGCCCATGTGAAGAAAAGGAATGTGTCGAACTGGCAAACATATCTAATAGCTGATGATACATGGGTAACTTAGAGCAAGGGAAAGATGTGAGCCCTGAGCTGGGTCAGCCAGGCGTCATTCTAGCCTGCTGTAGTCTCATAAGGCGAACCTTGGCTCATGAAGATTAGGACTGCGGTTGCTACAAACAGACTGCTCATGTCTGGGTGGTGTGGGCAGATTTGGCTCCGCAGCTATCATCATCGTCAGGACTCGTAGCGGCAATGTAATCCAGCGTACTCACAGCCAGTATTTCCTTCCACATCCTTCCATAGCCTCGGATAGGAGCTAGTCACCTAGATGCCCTGGTTTGGTTTAAATGTTGGTGTCATCCTCATCAAAATTCTTGTGTTGATATTTAATCTCTGTGCAGTAGTACTAAGACGGCGGGGCCTTTGGGGACATGAGCGACCAGCATCAGGCTTGAGGGAATCCTGTTTGCCTGTCGTGTAAGGACACATCAAAGAGCTGTCACCGATGACGATGCTGGCACCTTGATCCTGAGCTTCTGATCCCCCAGAACAGTAAATTCCCGTTGCTTTTAAGCTGTTCGGTGTGAGCATCTGAGGTTCCATCTCAGGCAAGGGACAGCAAAGCCTTCGGTGGTGTGCAGAGGAGGTGTTGAAGCATGGAGGAGGTGAAAACCATCGGCCAGGGCTCTCTCTCCTTGCCAATCATATGTGGACTCCAAAGTAGCAGTAGCGGTAC